TTCTATAGAAAACTGTTCTGACGAGACCATTTTCTATAGAAAACTATTCTGACGAGACAATTTTCTATAGAAAACTGTTCTGACGAAACAATTTTCTGTAGAAAACTGTCCTAAGGAGACAATTTTCTATAGAAAGCTGTACTAAGGAGACAATTTCCTATAGAAAACAGCCCTAAGGAGACAATTTTCTATAGAAAAAAGTACTAATTTTCTATAGAAAACTGTTTTAATGAGACATTTTTTTATAGAAAACAGAAAGACAAAATTTTCTACAGAAAACTGTTTTAACAAGACAATTTTCCAAAGAAAACTGTTATAACGAGACACTTTTCTATAGAAAACTGTTTCAAAAAGATAATTTTCTATAGAAAACTCTCCTAACGAGACAATTTTCTATAGAAAACTGTCCTAACGAGACAATTTTCTATAGAAAACTGTCCTAACGAGACAATTTTCTATAGAAAACTGTCCTAACGAGACAATTTTCTATAGAAAACTGTCCTAACGAGACAATTTTCCTAATTAGACAATTTTCTATAGAAAACTGTCCTAACGAGACAATTTTCTATAGAAAACAGTCCTAACGAGACAATTTTCTATAGAAATCTGTCCTAACGAGACAATTTTCTATAGAAAACTGTCCTAACGAGACAATTTTCTATAGAAAACAGTCCTAACGAGACAATTTTCTATAGAAAACAGTCCTAACGAGACAATTTTCTATAGAAAACAGTCCTAACGAGACAATTTTCTATAGAAAACTGTCCCAACGAGACAATTTTCTATAGAAAACTGTCCCAACGAGACAATTTTCTATAAAAAACTGTCCCAACGAGACAATTTTCTATAGAAAACTGTCCCAACGAGACAATTTTCTATAGAAAACTGTCCCAACGAGACAATTTTCTATAGAAAATTGTCTCGTAGAAAATTTTCTACAGAAAACAGAAAACATTCCTAATTAGACAATTTTCATAGAAAACAGTCCTAACTAGACAATTTTCTATAGAAAACTGACCCAACGAGACAATTTTCTATAGAAAACTGTCCCAACGAGACAATTTTCTATATAAAACTGTCCCAACGAGATAATTTTCTATAGAAAACTGTCCTAACGAGAATTTTTCTATAGAAAACTATTTTAACGAGACAATTTTCTATAGAAAACTGTTTTAACTAGACAATTTTCTATAGAAAACAGTCCCAACGAGACAATTTTCTATAGAAAACAGTCCCAACGAGACAATTTTCTATAGAAAACAGTCCCAACGAGACAATTTTCTATAGAAAACAGTCCCAACGAGACAATTTTCAATAGAAAACAGTCCCAACGAGACAATTTTCTATAGAAAACAGTTCCAACGAGACAATTTTCTATAGAAAACAGTCCCAACGAGACAATTTTCTATAGAAAACAGTCCCAACGAGACAATTTTCTATAGAAAACAGTCCCAACGAGACAATTTTCTATAGAAAACAGTCCCAACGAGACAATTTTCTATAGAAAACAGTCCCAACGAGACAATTTTCTATAGAAAACAGTCCCAACTAGACAATTTTCTATAGAAAACAGTCCCAACGAGACAATTTTCTATAGAAAACAGTCCCAACGGGACAATTTTCTATAGAAAACTGTCCCAACGAGACAATTTTCTATAGAAAACTGTCCCAACGAGACAATTTTCTATAGAAAACAGTCCCAACGAGACAATTTTCTATAGAAAACTGTCCCAACGAGACAATTTTCTATAGAAAACTGTCCTAACGAGACAATTTTCTATAGAAAACTGTCCTAACGAGACAATTTTCTATAGAAAACTGTCCTAACGAGACAATTTTCTATAGAAAACTGTCCTAACGAGACAATTTTCTATAGAAAACTGTCCTAACGAGACAATTTTCTATAGAAAACTGTCCTAACGAGACAATTTTCTATAGAAAACTGTCCTAACGAGACAATTTTCTATAGAAAACTGTCCTAACGAGACAATTTTGTATAGAAAACTGTCCTAACGAGACAATTTTCTATAGAAAACTGTCCTAACGAGACAATTTTCTATAGAAAACTGTCCTAACGAGACAATTTTCTATAGAAAACTGTCCTAACGAGACAATTTTCTATAGAAAACTGTCCTAACGAGACAATTTTCTATAGAAAACTGTCCTAACGAGACAATTTTCTATAGAAAACTGTCCTAACGCGACAATTTTCTATAGAAAACTGTCCTAACGAGACAATTTTCTATAGAAAACTGTCCTAACGAGAAAATTTTCTATAGAAAACTGTCCTAACGAGAAAATTTTCTATAGAAAACTGTCCTAACGAGACAATTTTCTATAGAAAACTGTCCTAACGAGACAATTTTCTATAGAAAACTGTCCTAACCAAACACTTTCTATAGAAAGCTGTTCTGGCGAGACAATTTTCTATATAAAACTGTTATAACGAGACAATTTTCGATAGAAAGCTGTTTAACGAGACAATTTTCTATAGAAAATTGTTTGAAAAAGATAATTTTCTATAGAAAACTGTGTGACCAAGACAATTTTTTATAGAAAACTGTTTCAACAAGACAATTTTCTATAGAAAACATATCTATGGAACACTGAAAATAAACGTGTCTAAAGGAACTGTCTTGAGCATACACTTTTCTATAGAAAACTGTCTAGCATGAAACTTAAATTGCCAATTCGCATACGTTTGATGTGTTAATGACGAATAAATGTATTCGTTTTCAGTAACAGTTTTAAAAATAAATATTTTTATTTCCAGTAGTCATCAAACTGTAATAGCTTTTGATAAAAACTCGCTTTTAGCACAGTTCACAACCCTTGGAAAAAGTAACGAACAAATAGGCTTTTATAGTTTAAACGCAAACCAACATTTAACAACCAGGCCTGCCAGATTTACCGATTTATCGACATTTAGTCGATATTTTACTTTCTAAGTAGTAATATGTCGATTTACCGATTTTATGTTTCGAAAATAAATTTACACATTTTGTGAAGAAGCTAATTTTTGAACATACAGCTAGGGATAATTTCCCATTATTAAAATTCACCCAGCAAAATCTTAACTTAAGTAGTTAAGTAGGTCGGTAATATTGGAGCAAAGTGTAAGTACTTACTTTAGATGAATGACCGGTTATTTTGACCAGAAAATAACTGGTCATTGTTGTGTTGGTATGGTAACTGGTCATTGGTATGGTTTTAACAATAATGTAAAAATCAATATTTTTCTCAAGAAACTTGGGTTAGAACCTCTGATTAGGGTTCTATAGTTGAAACGAAAAGTCGACTTTTTTCATTTAGTTAAAAGCCGACTTTTAGACTAAAGTATTTTATAAATAGTCGACTTTTCGACTTCTTTGGATTTTTTGAGTTTTTTCGACTTTTGGATTTTTTTCGACTTTTTGACTATTTTCGACTTTTTTCCACTTTTTAAAATTCCCGACTATTTTTGACTTTTTTCTACAATTTTCGAGTTTCCGACTTTTCGACTTTTTCCGACTTTTTGACTTTTTTCGACTTTTTTCGACTTTCTTCGACTTTTTTCAACTTTATTCGACTTTTCGACTTTTTTCGACTTTCCGACTTTTAGACTTTTCGGCTTTTTTCGACTTCTATTAACAAAGTCGACTTTTCGACTTTTTGCACAGACGATAGTCGAGTTATCGACTTTTTTGGAACAAAATAGTCGACTTCGACTTTTCGACTTTTTTCGACAAAAAGTCGATTGTTCGATTATTCGAAAGTCGATTTATAGAACCCTACCTCTGATTAATTCCTCCATAGTGGATGTACGTCAAAAACATATCTACTGTTATATATCACGATTCATTCGTTTGGGCTGTGCGATGATGAATCAGTCAGTCAGTAACGCGACTTTTATATACACATAGTCATAGATGTTTCCTTGATTCAAAATAGTGTTTTTTAAATGCTGTTATTTGGGAAAAAATTGATAAAATTTATCTGGCAGCCCTGCCTACCATGCAATACTTAAAAGAGAAAGAGTAAAAGAGACAACTATAGAAACTTTTCCACTTACATTACCCCCCACAAACGGTTAAAAGCAACATTTAAAGAAAAAATATGGAGAAAGACAAACTCGATACAGTTATGTGTGGGTAAAAAGGGGGAGGGGAACAGGCAAAATAACAGTAGAACAAAGAAGTAAAGTGAAGAATACAAAAACAGTGAGACGAATGAGTAGAAAAATAGTAGAAAATTTTGAAAAAATATTAAAGTAAAGAATGTTAATAACAGAAACAGAGGCTAAAATGGAGAATGAATAAAATAAAGAAAACATAAGAGAAACAACAGAACAAGTATAGACAACAATTAAATTTAGACAATCAGTCGTTCGGTAGCGCGCGTTTGATAAACTTGTACTTTTAAGCGAATGAGTGTTAAGTCACAATAACAGACGGACAGACAGACAAATGAAAAACTCCTAAACTAAATGAAAACGTTAGATATACAAAAAAAAAGATAAAAATTACAAAAAAGAAAGAGTTAAAGTGGAAAAAAAATATTAGAAAACAAAAAAATTAAGTATCTATAAGAAGTTTTTTTTTAAAAAAAAGGCAAAATTTTTAAAAAGTAAAAAAAGATTTAAAAAAAAATAGATTTACATTGATAAAAATGATGAATTGATAATTTTTTACTAAAAACAACCGTTATATATAACAGTTATTGTCTGTGAATGTGTATATGAGAGTAAGTGCGTGTGTTTGTGTTTACGTGTGTGTGTATGTATAAATGCTAATTCGAGCAGAAAATATATAATTTTTTTTTTATAAAATACATACCTAAAATAATAATAACAAAAAATATTTGAAAAAAAATAGTTAATGGAAAAACCATTATAGAAAAAAAGTTAGAAAAATATTAGAAAAAAACAGATTTTAACGAAAATTTTTTGTTGTTACTTAAAGTAAAAGCAATTTTTAAAGTGATTTGTTTTGTTGTTGCTAAAAAAATTTTTTAAAATTTATTAAAAAAAAAAGTGCTAAACATATTTATTTGTTTATATGTAAAAAATAACAAAAAGCTGCCAAGAAAAAATAAGCAAAATTAAACAAAATTATTAAAAATTCAAATAAAAATAAAAAAATATTTTCAATAAAAACCTCTTTCTTAACTGTGCTAGTAGTGTCATCACTATTTTTACTACAAAAAAAAAAAAAAACATTAAAAAAATATTATTGAAATTCGAATAAAAAAAAAACCTAAACTTATTTACTATTTTATAGTTGTTTTGACATAAATTACAACTAGTTTTTTTTTATAAGTTTTTCTGCTTTAAGTTAGTTTTTTTAGTTAATTTTGTTGTTTTGTTCGTTTGTTGTCTTTTGGCATCTGAACTTCTTCTGCTTTGTTTGCTGTAATAAAACAGTATAACTAACAACAACAATAAATAACTAAAAATCTACAACAACATCAACTAAATGTAAGTTACAACAAAGAAATATATATACATATAGAAAAAACTGACAATAAAAAAATAACAATAATAATAAAATGAATTTTGAAAAAACGCTATAAACACTATTAAACCATTTCCATTAACAAAATTTGAAACCAAATTTAGAATTATAACAAGTAATAGTGCTATATTCTGCTATGCCGAATCTTAAAAGCCCACCATCAAATCATATACCATGAAAGGAATGTTCCCTAATAAATAAACTCTGAAATTTGTATACCCTAAACCACTATAGTGGGAGGGTATTATGCGTTTGTGCTGATGTTTGTAACACCCCACTTTCTGAGTCGATTAAGCTGTGTCCGTCTGTTCGTCCGTCTGTCTGTCCGACTGTATGTCCATATAAACCTTGTGCGCACTCTGCAGGTCGCAATTTTCAAGATAATTTGATGAAATTAGGAAAGCTATTGAAAATGGTTGAAATCGGTTGGCCCCCATACCCCCGTATAGGGCTTTTGACCTCATAATTATGTTAAAAGGTCCACTATCTCTACAAAAATTGGCAAAACTTAGTCTTAATAATTCTAACGATTTTTGTAAACATAAATCCCGACAATAAATTTTAAAAGAATCGGCCCAAGTTTTGTCCTAACTCCCATACAGCCGAACCTTCCGATTTGGGCCTATTATGTTTTAACTATTTCTAATATACTACTTACTATCTATCCAAAAATCAGCATAATTAAGTTTGATATAATTCTAAATAACACTGTCAATTTTAGTAATGATTGGTCCTCGTTTGACCCTAGCCCCTATATAAAGTCCCCTTCTGAAAATGACTTGAATGTCCCAAGTCACTTATAAACATTAGTATCACGATTAAATTTGTCGCAAATAAGTTTTATATAAACATAATTCCCAACAATAAATTTTATAAGGATCGGCTCAATTTCGGCCCTAGTCCCTATACAGCCGGACCTTCCGATTTGGGCCTATTATGTTTTAACTACTTCAAATATACTACTATTTATCCAAAAATCAGCATAATTAAGTTTGATATAATTATAAATAACTCTGTCGATTTTCGTAATGTTCGGGCCTCGTTTAACCCAAGTCCCTATACAAAGTCCCCTTCAGAAAATGACTTGAATGTCCACATGTCCATAGTATCACGATGAAATTTGGCATAAATAAATTTTATATGAACATAATTCCAAACAATAAATTTTATAAGGATCGGTTCAATTTCTAACCTATCCCCCATACAAACGCACCTTTCTGCGGGCCTTTTATCTCTTAACTATATCTAATATACTACTATCTGTCCAAAAATCGGCATACTTAAGTATACGTTTCGATTAAGCTATGTCCGTCTTTGTGACCTTGTAAACCTTGTGTGCACGCTAAATCTCGTAATTTTCAATATGATTTGTTAAAATTTGTCACATACTTTTCTCTGGATCCAATGACGAAGGCTGTTGAAAATTATTGAAATCTATTTTTTATTTTTCCTAGTCAGCATACAACCGTACATGAACAGACATTATTTGGAAACTATGTAAGATTCTATGTAAGATTTATTATTGAAAATGAATCACATTTAATATTCGCAATTGGTGTAGGGTATCATATGGTCGGCCCCGAACGACTTTAGTTTCTTACTTCTTGAATCAATGCTTTTGTTATTATCGCAACAATTTTCTCATTTATAAGATTTATGTATCAGGCTAATACATATAGAAGTGTTTTTTAATGAGTTCTTAAGACAATTATGGACCGAGCTCTTCCAAATTAAAAATATAATTTTTTTAAACAAATTGTTTTTGTGCATTTTTTATAACTATAAACTGTTTTTTTTTTTTTTTTTTTTTTTTTTTGTAAGAGAGGTTATTTGGGGTTAGGGTCAATTATGGACTAATCCTGATCGGTATTTCCATAAAGACATGATGCCAAATTGGTCCAGGGATATGAAGGCAGTTTATGCTCTTTAAAGATAAATAAGATACTCCGAAGATATTCCACAGAATAAAGTTTTGTGGTGAAATACAACTCATCATTAGCTTTAGTTCAAGATTATTCAACATCATCTTTTTTACAAAAAATTTTTTTCTCCGACATCCTCAATATTCAAATCGCAGGTACCGCTAATCTTTGACAGATATCGTCCTAATTTCTTTATTATTTTATTACCTTCTTCATTGTGCATAAATCACATGGAGATTTTCTTAAAATTTTAAAATTTACTTTACAATATTGTTAAAAGTTTCAAACTGTAGTTTTTAAACTGCCGTCTGAAGGGTTTCCATTATTTGCTATTAAAATTCAAAAAGATAAATTTAGTGCTAACATTTTTATTAAAGTCGTTTTCCCCTTCAAAACGTGGTCCTATCGAGAATGCATTTATATAACTCAAAGTATAAGACTAGAAGCGGAGTCGACCAATATTCGCAACTTCTGTAATATTACAAAATTTTATATTTGGGAAACAAGTATACAGTCAGAAGGACTAAAAGATGAAATTGTGAAATAGCTATCTGAACTCCTTCGGACATTTTTTGCTAGGACCAATAGGTAAAAAGTTACACTCATTTGAATAAAACTCTGTATGACCAAAATGTCCAATTTTGACCCCCCCTAAGTCAGGCAGTTCTTAACCGAAGAGCTGAAAACCTTGGTGCAAATTTTGTCCAAATCGGAAGACTTCGATTTTAAAAGTTGGGTCACGAAATCGCCCATATAGGAAATGTTGTAGATTCTTACGTCGTAGGAATTACAATAAGTGAACTATTTGTAAAGTACAGATTTTTGTAAGCTTTGACCCCAATATCGTTTTAATGATGAAGGCTCCCTATGGATGATTGTGTTCATTACAAAGAACGGCCAAAATTTCAAAAAAAAGAAGGAACCCATAGACTATAGTATACTTTTTTTCTTAAAGAATTAAGCTGTGCTAAACCCGAAAATGTCATTACTAAAAACCATGATGACAGAAACATAGACGTTTCAACACAATATCGACTTTAAAGAGCCTTAGGAAATTGTAAATTGCTGTCAAAAGCAGTCAAAAGTTATCGATAACAACAACATAAATGTCAATTTCAAGTTGTCGAGTATGACAAACCTTATAAGAAAGAACTTGTCAAATAATATTACTCAATGTCAATTGTAATAAAGAAGAAAGTACAAAGAAACCCTTTCGTTTAAATTACAACTTAAATGTTTAAAATGAACTTTTAAATGACGGACGGAGAAAAAAAATGCAATAAAATAAAAGATTTAAGATGGAAAAGGTGTAGAGATATAAAATTATATGTTTGATTATGTATGTGAAGGCAAACACAACTTAATGACAGTAGTAAAATTTAACCCACATACACAAATACATATCTATGAATATGTATGTATGTATTTATGTATTGTTTGTATACATATACTACAAATAAACAGTTATACAAATATACATACATACCGTTAAAGGTAATTAGTCATTACACAAAGACTTTCCTCCCGCATACAAACACACTCATACACTCAACTTTACCGGGTAAAAGGAAATAAAATATGAAAAAAAACCCACTAAAATACACACACCAAAGGATATTATATAGACAATACTTGTTCTAATAAAAATAGTTTACCCTTCAAAATAATATTAATAAATAAAACAGCAACAAAATAATAATAAACTTATAGAAAAAAAAAACTACAAGGAAAAGGTAACAACAATAAGAAAACAACAAAAAAATTAATATTTACTTAAACTTCGGCCCACTTTTACCTTAAAGGGATAAAAAGGACATAGAAAAAAATGTTAAGAAACACCTTAGAAGAAAACACACACACACAAAACAACAAAAACCTTAAAAAGAAATTTTAATAGAAAAAATAAAGTATGTTGTTGTTGTTGTTGGCTGTCTTGTGTAGGGCGGTGTGTGTATCTACTTTTTTTAAGATCTATAGAATTTTTTATTCTCCTTTAAAACTTTTTTTATATATTCGTACACAATATTTTGACATGCTTTTTTCGATTTACTTTTTTTCTTTCTGTTTTTGTTGTTGCCGAGTTTTGTGTGCTTAAGAACAGTCTAAAAAGTTTTCTTTTCAAAATCCCAATGCGAAAATTTTAAGTTTTAATAAACCCTTACGGATCACTGTCAATTCTTTGGTGTCTTATAACTCAAACACAGTACAGGGACTTAATCATCATAGGGATGCATTTTAAGTATTACCCATCTCTTACAGCACACATCGTGTGTCCTCTATATTAAGAGCGGTTTTGTGGTATACCCTTCTTTAATTGCTTTATTGCGACCCTAACTAAAACTCCTCTGTTCCCTATGCTAAGGTAAAGACTGAGATCTGAGTAACACTGAAGCAACTGTGAGCATGGCAATCTAACGGAAACCAGAGTTTAGTAGTCGGTGTTACTATCGGGGTCGACATGCTAGTGGGACATTCGAAAAATAACTTCTATTTACTCTCTGGAAATAAATATTTGCGAGACCGATGAGGAGAAGTTACTCAAAGTGAGCTCTAAGTCGCTGAATAAATACAAATAACAATCAAAGACTTAGGACGGAGAGTTGAATGAAAAATACTCGGTCGTCGACTACTCGAGATTCAACGTTATTAGCTCACCAATCATAAATATCGTAGAAGGAATTATGAGGAAATACTGAATACTACAGTTGTATAGGTTAGCTCACTCTGTTAGGAGGCTGATTAGAATTAGTATATCCTTGTGAAAACGTCGATATCCGTTCTCTATTTCAGCAATGGATCGTTTACGATCACCAATTCACAGACTCTTGATGTACTCTTATCCTTATCAAAAGATCAAGGAGGCACAAGAAGACCATTAAGCAAAATACCAAGAACACAGGCACAACACAGGCGATTGCTAAAGATTGGGGTCGACATGCTGATCGGACATACGAAATTCGATGGGGAGAAGTTAGAAGTATACGAAATTATGAAGAAATACTGAATACGTCAGTTGTGGAGGTTAGCTCACCCTGTTAGGG